GACAGCGGAACCGCCCGGAGACCCGAGACCCACGCAGGAAACGCACCGGTGTGCCGGTCGGCGCTGGGCCGATGGGGCGGGCCCCGTGCCGGCCGTCCTGCCTGCCGCCCGCAGCAGGGACGGCTTGCCTTTGGGGCGGCCGTGCCTCTCCCGCCAGAGCTGCCCAGGCGCAGGGAGCTGGAGTGTTTATTCAAGAGTACAAGAGAGCAGGGACACTGTCTTTAATAAAAGTTGGCACTTAAAAGTCACTTAGTAAAACGTTTACGTGTATTTGTTTTTACCACATCAGAAAAGCTGACATGCAGGTCAGGGCCGTGTCTCCCGCAGGAAGTGAGAAGCCATGTGTTAAAACCCACAAAACTGGTCACTTACCAGTTGTTTCTGAAAAGGGGCTGCTGCATGAGAACAGGTTTAAATGAAGAACAAAACAACTTTTCATGTATCAAAGAAAAGTGTCAAAATAATCTCAAACAATTAAAATATAATATATATTTATAGTTTCAGGCCCTCAAAAGCAATCATGGTAGGTAAAAACAGAGTTTTGAGTCACCGTGAGGGAGGCCAACCTGACATCTCCGTGAGATGAGACGGAAACTGGCATCAGAACCCGGAGTTACTTGAAAATCACCTTTCAAACGGGAAGCTCCTTCACACACGTGGGAGTCGGGGGAGGTCCTCCACTAGGCCATGGGGCCGGAGCCGCAGGCGGGCGTCCTTGGAGGTGGCGGCTGGGCGCGTCTCGGTTCCTCCCTAGCGGACAGTGCCCGCCCACCCTCCCCAAGCCCGCCCAGCCCGCGTGTTACTAAAATTCCGTCCTCAACACCTGACCGGCACTGAAAAATAAATCAATGCAATTCGGTTTAAATGCCAGTTTCTTCAAGAACCTGATATTTCAGTTACAAATAATCGAAGCTCCTTTTTAAAAAGAAAATGACTCCCTTGTAATCAACTACTTTATGTGAAGAAAGGCGTGGTGACGGCGCCGGGGACCGCCCAGGGCCGCAGCAGGGCTGGCGTCTAGCTGGCGAAGGCCTTGCCCACGTCCTCCTTCCCCTTGTACGTCCTCTTGCCGTGCGTGAACGGGATGTACCGGTACTTGATCATGTGCTGGGGACAGACAGACATTTCAGCACAGATGCCCAATGAACCGCCTCGTCCAAACCTGCAGCCCGGCTTCTCTGTGTACCAGGCACGGAAGCGGGGCTGCAGCAGAAGCCCCCAGTGCCCCGGGGACAC